ACTATGCTATTAAGTAGTAAAGAGACTATAAAAGATATTTAACAAGTATTTACTAATAATATAAGCAGAATTTGTTACACCCTCAAATATTTGAAAAACTTTCTTTTTTAGGAAATTTTTAATGAGACAAGTATGGGTCCTTGTCAAGTTATTTATTTCCTTCAAAGAAACTTTTTTCTTTTCTTTACCACTATCAAGAATAAAAATCCACTTCTAAAGAAGATATCTGGTTGTCCCCTTTCTGCTATAGCCTAACAGGTTTAGGTTAAATAGTTCCAGATGTTACGGGCGGAAAGGTCAAGGTCTGGGCATATTGAATGAAAGACCATTTCTTCTTCTTCAAGACAAAGAGTTATTTCTGCCAAAACCAACACAACAAACTTTACATACATTAAAGACCTATTAAATATGAGCCAACTTTAAGAGTTTGATTGTAAAGACTCAAGCTGCATAAGGATGGAACTCTTGGTCGAATTTCTCAAGACTGGGCACCTTATGGATAAAGGTTGCATAGAGAAAGGCCTTTGGTTTGATATCTTTTTCACTTATATACACAGAAACACTTTGGTTCTTTTTTCTTTTCAACAAAAAACTGAAATCAGTTTACCCTTATCAAAAAATCAATACTATATTTCAACCAATCATAATTCACCAAAATTGCATTATTGATTACCACAATGACAATAACAATAATAATAACAACAATACCACTACCAACAATCTATTACATATTAATATCAAATAGATAATTTTGAAGAAAATGACGATGTGGGTACTAATGTATAGGTATAGATATAGCAGTGCTGACAGCTTACCGAGTATGTAGGAGTTGCGTTCTGTTTGACAGTTTTTGCTTCTAGATTTGGTAGCTTAAGCCAACCGAATCCTTTGGAGTGTCTACTAGAAGATTTTGGAGTCGCGTCCCACTTGGCCTTTAAAACCCCTAGATTTGATAGTTTGTGCCAATCAATGATTACAGTTTCAGAGCATTTACTAGGAAGTATATACCCACGTCAGCCCCCTCTGTCCCTATAGTTGCATAAGTCGAAGTTGTAATATGAAAAGTTATTTATTTAATATTAATATATGTCTAATTTCTTTTTCTTTATTTCTTTTTTCATTTTTCACTAAAATTGCATGGTTTGTTGTGCAACTATCTAGACAATATATTAGTTTTAAATTTTCTTTTCTAATATAGTTTAGATAGATATTTTGATAAACTAGTATTTAACTTATGTATTATAAGAGATGTAGGTTCTTTTTCAAAGTTATATTTTAGTATATACATATAATAAAGAACTGATGTTTATCAAAAAAAAAAAATAATAATAAATAATATATAGTCATTATTGTTAAAAATCAAAACCTATTTATCAAATAAAATATAATTTATATCAATATTAATATGTATTAATTATAAATAATTTTTTATTTTTGATATTAATCAATAGAATGCATTACTATCAATACTTATTAATTAATTATAATTGATTATTAGTGATTATTAATTGACTATCAATAAACAATTTTTTAAAAAATTTTCTAATATATTTTAAACAATAGAAATCTAAATACTAATCTGAATATAATTAATGAATTATTTATAATAACTATATATTTTTTTATTTATTTAAAAATTTAATATAATATGAATTGATATATTGCTCTGAGACAAAATTTTTATTTGAAAATATCAATGATCATTAATTTAAATTTATATATCAAACCATATAAAATTAAAAAACTATATATAAGATTGTATCAAATTATAATATATTAATATATATTCAAACTTTTATCACAAATAAAAAATGTTCTTGGAAGTATAATTCATTAAAAATTTCAATTTTTGTTAAAACCTTTCAAAGCATGGTTTTGCTATATACCAATTCATATATTTTTATATTTATAATTTGATATATAACTTTTATTAATAATTTTTACTTAATATTAATTAATACTTTATTAAAATTTTTGATTTGATATTTTAATTTCAAAAAATTAGTATTAAATTTGAATTTGATAAATTAATAATAATATTTATTAATATTAATTAAAACTTTAATTATAAAAATACTATTTAATATTATTTACAGTTTTTAAAAAATTAATTATAGTTGTATTTTAGATTATTTTTTTTAAATCTATTTATATTATTAAAAAAGAATAATTTTGTTTTTTTATAAATAAAATATAATAGCTTTCGGATATTAAATATGAGAGATTTTTTTATAACACATCAAGGATTGCCTTCGAGATCGCACATGTCAGTGCTATCCAACAGTTCGGAACAGAACCTCATAATTGAGAATCTTCCAATTTCAATCTCCCTTCTCTACCCGTCCATCCCCTTTGCATAAAGTAAGCACCATCAAATTTCTCAATCAAGGGCTTCGCGGAAACAATGTATGGAACAATAAATTATGTCTACTATGTCTAGTGTTAATTTCGTCATTCTTGTTTTGATTACCAGAGTTTTTTTCCACATGACCGGAACGTGTACACATCATGAACAATATTATACATCCGATACGCACCTTTAATCAGGTGAATGGTTCGGTCAACGTCTACAGAAAAAATGAGTGTTACCGGACCGTGTGCCGACCTGTGCCCATTTGCAGAAAAAGTTCACTAGCAAACAAAGACTTCATATTTCCCCTCTACTCTCGAAACCACTTTTCTATTTTCAAAACTCCGTACGTTAAAGCTTCATCTGTGTTCTCTTTCGGAGGACATTTTTTCTATCGAAAAATAGATCTTGATAGACTTTTCTCACATATTTATATGTTCAGAAGGCGTTTTTCATCTTAACCTTGGTATGAGAACCTTAAACTCCTATATAAATATAGTTTATTGTTTTTATAATTTCCCAAGTTCTAACAAACTTGTTTTCTACTTCAACTTTAAACTGTACATATTTTTATAGTTACAGCAATAAAAATATCGAGTATACCTTTCAAACCATACTATCCAACTTTAAGTTTATCAACGATCGACCATGAGAGAATCAAACTTCTCTTTTCCCTCACAAAACCGTGCATCGGTTTGCATTACCTCCGCTCTATATGACCGCAGAGCTCTTGACTGTACGGCCATCTTACCTTTAATTAACTCACTCACACATCTCACTTATTTGACAAGTACTTCACCTCGCATCCGAGAGATTCTTACCATGGACGGTGGGTTAGAACGTTTGGTCCGTATACTTAAAACCACTAAAGTGAACGATAAAAGAAGTGGTTGGAAATGGTCGATGGCATTTCAGTGTGTTGCTAACGTTGGTGTGCGTGGCTCTGAGGCAATAAGAACAAGGGTAGTGGATGCTGGTATGATACCAGTTATTATAACTGTATTGGACAATTTTTTAAGGGCCCTTGATCATGTTAGGTTGGAAAAGGAACAACAACAGTTACTTGCTGCTCAGCTGCTTACAACTCAACATCCACCACTGATCACGACAACGCCACCTTCTACCATTCCCCTGGCGTCCACTTACGTTGGTACTTTAGAAAGTGGTAACGTGTCAAATGTTATTCAGATGTCTGACGAATCTGAACAACCTTTAACATCTTATCCCCGTTCACCTAATTCAACATCAACCATTTTCGCTTCTTCCGAATTTCAAAATGAAACTTCTGATATCTCGCACGCTGGTTCATCAAATATGCAATCTGTGATTTCAAATTCGAATCCAGCTACCGCTTCTACTAATAGGTTTTTGACAACACCATACGATATAAGATCGTCCGATGATGCAAGGTCAGATGTGGCGTCCTGGGGTTCGGTTGCTGATAACGAAGAAGCAAGTCTAACAACGACTTTGACACAATTACCGTCAACAATAGCTGGTACAAATGGCACAAACAATCTGAGAACACCTAATAATAATTCGTCTCCCGCCACAAATTCATTGTTAGAGATTGACGTTCTCTATCGTGAAGAAGACATTCTTTTGTCCCTTCAACTTCTTGCTTACCTTTCGAAATACCCCCATTTGCGAGCTACGTTCCACAACGCTTATCCGCCTCACAACGTATTTTCTCTTGTAGAAAAATTCACTCATCGTCTACACCCTCCAGAAATTCAGTATTGGGCTGGTGTTATCATGCGCAATGCTTGTCGCAAGGATGAGGATCGTGGCGGTATCCGCCAATGCGCCTATATGGCTTGCGGAAAATGGGAAAGTTACCCTAGAGAATTTGCGAAATGCCGGAGGTGTCGTAAGGCTAAATACTGCTCCAAGACTTGCCAATCAAAAGCTTGGAGTGAAGGACACCGATGGTGGTGTATGGAGCGACATAGCCATGGAGAATCCGATGGCACGACACCCAATGCACCCGATGGTCAGGCTGCTTCCACTGCTGGCACGTCTTCAGGGTTAAATGGACACCGTTCTCGAACAAACTTTGTACATTCCACAGATAGTCTAGCTCGTTCAGCGAACCGTGAAACGACGCCGTCGACCGTGACAACTGGAACGACATCTCACGGTCGTGGCTCGGGGTCTGGATCTGTTTTGGTATCATAATGGTACGGTAACATCATTTTTAATTACAAAATTATTGAAATTTTTCTTAAATCTAAATCTTATTGTATACATTATTTGTTTGACATTAGATAAAATCCTTCGGATCACATTTATTCACATTGTTTATAGTTCGTGTGTAGGATACAGGGTAAATGTTTGTTGGCAGTTTTATTTTACTTCTATTAAATTCAAATTGGAGTTTGGTTAATGAGGGGGTAGAAGGGGAGGTTTTTTTGTCTGTCGTGCTTGGAACTTTGAAACAATCGATCTCCCTTATATAATTGTATTTTTTCCTATAATATTACCATTGTACGTTTACAAAATTACTTCTCGATGTGCAATTTTGTTTTATTTATCACCTTCATCCTATCCTTCTATCAACTCGATAACCTTTCTCCTCACTTATTTAGCATATAATGTATACAGAATTGTTTATACATGTTCGAAAGAAAAGCATGACTGTATTTTTCCTATATCAGTTGATCGTTCTGTAATAACGTATGCGGTTTAATATAGAAAATATTTCTCTTTTCTTCTTTAGATCTATTGCAAATCACAATCTCAGATTTTATTCTTCTCGTGCATTGTTCTTTTTTTTATTTCGAAATGCAAATGTGCTGCCGATAAATACGATGAAATGGTTTCTACGGTAATACCGTAAGCTTCCGTAACATCATTCATTTTTTGATGGTGGCGAAAGCATTTAAGATGAATCTAATTCGAGACATTCTCTTTTTAACTATGACATTCAAGGCATACAGATTACGTACATTTAACCGCGTAATGTTTGCATCTCATTGGTGTTGTCGATCTTTGCTTCGGAATGTGCGTTTACAGCACTTTGTTGATTTCCCCTTATAATGTATGTGGTGGCATCCCAAATGCACATCAAATTGCTGTTGTGCACTATTCTTATTTTCCATGAAGATCGTTGTTTACGTTATACTCATTACGAATACCATACGTAATTTTGCAGTTACCCAAAAATCTATATTTATACAAAATCTTTTTGTAAGCCATTCTATAAAAAAAAAAAGAGTCCATGAATCTTTTCCAAAATATTTAGGCCATTTTCCTATATTAGTAATGCTACACATTACGTGGACATGTACTGGACATATGTATATATTCTCAAAAAAATTTTTTTTAATTAGAAATTTATGTTTTGTTAATTGATTTACTTTTAATCATAAGCCACTTAATATAATATTTTATTAATTATGAAAAAAAATCTTTTCACTGATTTTCTTGTCAATCCAAAATATTTTTTTGTATTTATTTTTTTTATCAACATTACTATATATAAATTTGATTTTTTATTTATTTATGTAAATAAAACATTTTGTATTTTTTATAAGTAAATATAAAAAATATAAAAAATAACTTGTTAACAAAAAGAATATATTGAAAAAAATATTTTTTTTAAGCTTTTTATTTTCAAATACATGATTTTTTAAAAAAATTTTATATATTTTAATTTGATTTTCATTTTTTTTTATATTGAAATTTTTAAATAATTTATTAAAAAGATTAATTAATACATATTATAATAAAAATATAAACAAAAATCATATAATTCTTATATACTGTATTTAATTTTATAATAATAAATTTATTAATACAATTAAAAATTTTTTTAATTATTAATATACATTCTATTTATTAAATATTATATTAAATACTTATATAATTATAATATAGAATACAATTTTATATATTTTCTAAATTATCTAAGATAAAAAAAACTATTTATTGATCAACTTGTTGCTTTTTATACCTTCTATATTATTAATATTAAAGTATGTATTAATAATATAAATAAAAACTAACTTATTAAAATATATATTTTTAAGTTTTCATTTGCTATTCAATAAATAGAACTTTAGAAGATAATCTATTACAGATTAGTTATATTTTATTGACTCTAATTAATTTTATTAAAAATTTAAAAAAGTAAAAAATAAAAATAAAAATATATACATATATATATTTATATATGAGTTCTTATATTAATCTGTAATAAATTTTCTAAAACTTATCAAAAAGAAAAAACTACTTGTTTTTTTAAGAAAAAATATATTTGTATACTATTGTAATTTTTATATATATTTATAATTAATTAAAACTTTTTATATTTTTTTAACAATCTTTATTAATCTAAAAAATCTTTAATTAAAATTGACTATTTCCTTTTTGTTTCAAGTAAAGTACTACTATTGTTATTTATTATAGTTAAATAAAGTTTAATTATAAGTTATTCAATTTTATAAACAAAAAACTGGATATTGTATTATAAGTAAAGTTTGTAAAATATATATATATATATATTGATTTTTATTATTTATAATTATATGTTTTATTTTTTTTTTTTATTTTTATTTTTTTATTATTATTTTTTTTTTAAATTGGCTAAGGGCATTAGATGCGTGACATTTATTAAATATTCGTTTTATAGTCAGTACATCAAGTATCTTTACAAAGTAGACTATTGCTATCCTAAATGCAAATTAATACTACCTAATAATTACCGTTTCCAGTAACTCTGGTTTTCCTTAGACCAATTGCGACATACCCAGCTATACGAATTTTTAAACATCAAGTAGATGGTCCACATGCCAGGTGGGACTTACATAGGGGGTGGAAATCCTACCACTAGTTTAAACCACCTTCCTACTAGGTCCAGT